GGTATCAAATATCAAATAACACAATGTTGCTTCTCCACAAGTACCTCATATATATAATGTGAAAGGGGGAAGGATCACAGTCTGGCTTTCCAAAAAACTGTACCGCTCAGAAGAGCTAGAATGCTTAGGCCCAGAAGAGGTGAGATGGGCCTCACCACTCAAGCCCTTCTTCATGCGTGGTGTGGCTTCTGCTCTGTAGTGAACAAGCTCCCATGATTCCTAGCCTTGTTATTGAATACTTGTTTATCTCCTCAACATGACTGAAATGGACCAATTCCCCACAATGCATTGCCTCAGCTCCACCTTCCATCCTCTCACTGTGAGAGGGTAGGGGAAGGGGGCATCCTCCCTGCTCCTCTCTGTCTTTTCCCAACCATAGTTCTCCCTAACCGATCTCTCCCTTTTAAAAATTTCACATCCCCCTTGTATATCATCTCCAGCACTTGAATCCCAATTTCCTTTCTCTCTATCCCTTCCCCTGATATCAGCCTTTGGTTTTCCCGGCCCCCACCAATCACTTCATTAATTCTTCTCAGATTCTGATCTCAGGGTTCCTCAACTTGTCAACTCTTTTAAAAATATATTTCTGCTCCACTAAAGCTGTCCCCAAGTTCAGCCATGACTAGTTCCCAATTATCTCTCAAAAGTTCCCAAGATCTCAGTTCTACAATCCCTTTTCTCACCACCCTCTCACTGAATCTGCTCTTTGTCTTCATTGTAACTGCCAGTCCCCTAACCCAGACCCAGACTCAAAGTCAATAAGCCACTTCTGGCTTCACTCTCTTCCATACTCCAAAAAGACCCCAAGGATACTCTGTTACTCACCTTGATTCCCTTGTCCCCTTCTCCCCCCATTATGTCCATCCAAGCCAGTCTCCAGCCTGAAGAAGACTACAGTATCTGCTTTCTCTACTCCTACTCCTTGTTGCTAAGAATTGCTAGAGATGATAGATGGGAAAGGCAGTGGTGATGATGGTACATTTTGTGGGAAGTTCTAGTGCCAAATGCTCTCCTGAATGCTTTACATGCATTACCCTAAACACTGATTAACTTCACTACAATGGAATGCTATTCAGTTAAGTTCTACCTGCATTTTCTGTGCTACTGAGCAATCATTATATCCACCTTTAATCGACTCTTTATCATATGCTTCGTAGTGGCTATTTCAAAGATTTAACATTTCCCTGGAGTCCACAGCCCACTCCCAACTCTGATACCACCTTGCTCGGTTTTTTGAAAAGATAAAGGCCATTCAACATGAGTTTCCTCATAGCCTCCTCTGCCCCACACCCTCCTCAAATTTTCTGGATGTCTTCATCTAACTTCTCTGTGTCTTTCCCAAACTAGAGGTTTTTCTAAGGTTAACTTTCCTCTTAGGCCCTTGATCCCACTCCCTCTTGCTTCCTCTATTATCTTCTCTCTCTTTATTTTCAATGTCTCCCTCTATATAAGATCCTTCCCCTTACCTGTCTAAGTTTACTCATCCTTTAAGAACCTGTCTTCTTCCCTGCAGCCCCCTCAAACTACCAACTTCTCTCTCCCCTGGGGAAAGCACTAAAGTGGTGAAGAGAATATTCCCTACCTCTGCAGGACCATTAAGACAGTATTCCTTGTAGGTTGTAGGTCTCATTTCTCTGCATTAGCCTCAAAACTAAAAAAGTCTCTCCAGCTGGGGGGCCCAGGACTATTTGGACCATTGAAGAACCCTACTCTGGGGAGAAAGCTGGAAGCTTTGAGTAAGATCTGGAAGTACTTAACATTGCATTTGATAGGATATGAAGAGGAAGCAAAGTCTTTTGACTGGTCTCTATCTTTTACTGTCTTACAATTTCTGTTTAATTGTAGTCTGAACCAGGGCAGGGAGGCAAGCCCAATTTGGGTAGACCCTGCAACACTTCTCTCTTTCCCTAATCTCTCTCAACCAATCCACCACTACGTCCTGACAATATAACTATCCTAATATCTTTTGCTATTTGCAATTGCCACACTCTGCTCACTCATCTCCCTGGCTCCAGCCTTGCCCAGCTCCATTCCATTCTCCACACTGCAATCAGAATGACCTTCCTGGAGCACATCCCTGCTTGAAACTCTTATGGCTCCCGAGTGCCTAAGGAACAACTCCAAGCTCCTTAGCCCATCATGACCTGGCCCTTGCCTGCCTGTTCACTGCCCGCCCCCCACCCAAGCCAGGTTCCAGCAATGCCAACTAATGGTTCACCAAACCCTCTAAGCTCTCTCCAGCCTCTGCACCTCTGCCCTTTGCTCATTGCTCATTCTTTCCCCTCTACCTGGAATAACTCCCTTCCCGACTATCTTCTATTTGTTCTTCAGGACAGTTCAAGGGCCATCTTCCCACCAGTTCCAGGGGTCATCCCTTCCCAGGTGCTCCTCAAGGTACCCCAGGCATCCCTCTATCCAGGTACTTCTAATGCTGAGCTGTTCTCATGTAATTCTTATCTGTTTCACACACTGGACTATTAGCTCTTTATCAGGAACTGTATCTGATGTGCCTTTGTAGTTCTTCTGTTCAGCAGATGGCCTGACACATACACACATATAAATGTCTCTTGAATGAATAAATGAATAAATTAGATTTTAAATAAGAGATAGAAATGGATATTTTTAACATTAAGTACTTTAGTACTGTTTATTTTCATGATGTTGTTTGGTAAGTAAATACAGATGAATTTGCACAGATTAAGGCCAAGAGATAGAATTTGCAAAGATCAAGGCCAAAAGAAATGGGAGACTGAATTAAATAGAACACGTACACTACTTTGACTACTATTGCTAACATTGATTGAAGGTTAACTCTGTTATCAACGCTATTCTAAGTACTTTTTATGTATTGACTCAATCCCCCAAATAACCCCAATTTTATAGATGAAGAGACTTCAGAACAGAAAAATTTAATAACTTGTCCATAAGTGACTGAGCTGGGATTCAAACCTGGCAGAGCCAGTGGTTTTAACCACTACATTGTATCATCTTCTGTGTGACCATAATTGTACAAAAAATAAGTTAGGTATTTGCCTCACTCATCTATGCATTCACCTCAATTTTTCTTTGTTTTTTCCACCTTAACTTGGAAACTCATAACTTTAAATATATTGAATTACCAGCATCAAATAATATTTGAGAATTTTTCTAGATGGGCTTAAAAAATACCTAGGTAGCCAATTCCTTGCCAGTTGCTAAGAGGAAGTAATAGTGTGGGACAGGTGGCAGGTTAAGTGTCAATTACATGCATTGTGTTTCCCTTAGAATTAATTTTCCTGCCTCCTAAGGAAGTGGCTGTTTAAAGTTTTGATACCTATTTGTGAGGTTGTATTTTTTTAAATGACTGTTAAAAGAAACACCAACTCCTGAGTGAAACTGAAGATTACAAAGACCCTGTAGGAAGCCTTTGCCACATGAGGCTTTTGACATCAAAGGAGTTAACAAAGATAAAGACAAATTAGAGTGGGTAAGAGAGACTAGAGTCTTATTTTCTATGGTAAAAGGAGAAAAGTCTTTAAAAAGAGAACACACATCTGGACAGGCAAAGTCGGGCAAGTGTGAAAAGCTGAGTAACTTTGCAAACTAAGTCTCAGAAACTGTTCTGCAACAGATTTCAAAAGAGACAAGGAAGAGACACCTGATTCGACTTAGAGCATTTAAATGCTGGGTTTGTTTTTTTGCTTGGTTTATATTTTATTTTATTTCATCTTCAGTTTTGGTGGTGGTGCTGTGTGTCTGAGTGTGTGGAGGTGGGTGCTAGAGAGGCGCTGGCTGGTGTATAGGAACAAAAGTGGGGGAAGAAGAGGGATTTCAGTTCCCTGGGGCTTAAACACAAGTTCCTACTGCTTCAAAAAGGCACCAAGTCACAAAAATTTTCTGCGTTTGACTACTCCCGTAGGCAAGCCATAGAAACAGAAATAGAAAAGTGGCAGTAGAAAAGTGCAAAGAGTAGGAAAAAAATTGTTTTGAGTATCCAAAACGGAACCTGGTGGTGGCAGGGAAAATCAACAAGATACAGTCAACCTTGAAACTACGCCTCCAGCTCAAGAGTTCTGATGCTTTTTGATTTGTAAACAGTTCTCTGTAGAATACATGAATATTTCCAGAACTTGTGACTTGTGATGTTTTATTTTCTTCACCTCCAGTCCTTCCAATGTTCTTTTAATAACAATGGATTAGAGCTTATCGGCATCCTGGCCAGTTTTATAAAACCAAATAATTGCTGAGCTGGGGAAGCAGGTTTATTTGCATTAAAAAAATTTTTTTAAAGAGAAATTCTGCCACCCTCTGGACATAAACCACAGATCTATTTCTTAGAGACCACCACAGAATACTGTTTTAAGCAATTGCCCCTAAAAATAAACATTTATTTTTTTAAATGTACCTGTTTTTTTAAAAAAAAGGTGGAGGAGAGAGAAACACAGTTGCTTTAGCTAGCCTAGACAATATCTAGAAAAAAGTCGTTTAAAAATACTAAATTGCCTCTAAGGAATTTTTAACTAAAGAAAACGGTCTCAGAGCACATTAGAGAAAAAGCCTCCAACATTTAACTGGTAATCTTTCCAAAATCACTTTACAGCCTACATTTCTGCTCTCTAGTCTGCAATGGCCAAGTAAAGATTTTTCACACAATCTCAGCCGTGACTGCTTTCATACAGTTACCTTTATTGGTAAAAATGAAAATAAAAAATCCACGTTTATAGTAAATATAAATATATATATATTTGTTGTTTGTTAACTAGAGCTAACTGAACACAGAGTGAGATTTCAGCCACGGCTGAGAGAAATTAGCCACAAGGACACAAACGGGCAGCTTGTTTCTGAAGCTCTCCTGCTCTCATCCGCTGGGCTTGGTGTACTTAATGTCATGTAAATGAAACTCTCAAAAATGCAGAGATGTGATAATTGCCAGTAATAATGCTGGGCAAATCAGAACACATGACATGCCATTTTTTATAAATAACCAGAGAGAGAAAGCAGGAAGACGTCAAGTACCATACCTGGTTTTAACAACAGGGTTTAGGTGCTTCTGGTCTTGGAGGACCTTGGCCAGCTGTTTTTGCAGAAACAAAACCTTCCCGTGGACTCCTTTAATAAATGGGTGGTCGAGGAGGTGTGTGACGGAAGGCCGCTTTTCAAAATCCTTAATAAGACACCTGTTAGCAAAAATCAACAAACAATCCAAAGTACAATCTTAGACACTGGTTGCCCCGTGAATATGAGAGAGGGGAGGTGAAAAAGCTCATTTATAAAACCTAATCACCAACCTTACATAGCTCATTCTTTATTCCTATATACCAGAACATAGGAAAAAAATTCTCTACTAGTTGAATTAATTGAAACATCAGATATCTATTTTAGTTTGTTATAAGTACATATTGAAAACACAATCATTTTTTGCCATTAATTTAATTTGAAGTACTCAGAACACTGAAAAAATAGACTGCTCAGACAATTTTCTGTCTGAATTTTCATTACAGAAAAATGTTTACTACGGAGTCCAGTTGGTGAGTCTATATACTTTATTTTAGAAGTATATAAAATTACATACTATCGCTTAGATGAAATCCTAATATATGAAATATCCACTATTTGGTGGTGGAGCAAATGCATTTAGGAGTTTGCAAGGAAAGAAACTAATCACAAAGAAACCTTAACAGAGAAACTTCAACACCCTGATTTCTAATGTCTTCTGAAGACGCAGAAAAACCTCAGAACAGGAAGTGACTACAATATAATTCAGATGAATTGGAATGGAATTATGCAAACAGGGAACAAAAAGTCCATTCAAAATGGTAAAAATGGGCTGCATTTAAACTCCTCTGTGGTTAATTGGTTAAAACCGCACTGGTGTAACCACTTTCTGTTTCAGATTCCATGCCCTTTTCAAAGAAAACAACGATTTAGTACATTTTGCTGTATGCTCTGCGTTACTCAAGATGATTCTGACACAAGGAAATTTCTAGTGAAATTGAATCTGATGAATATCCCTCCAATTACCATCGCATTTCCATTCTGAGTAGCTGCCCTTGACGGAGGAAGAAATTTCAACATCTGCCCTTTTAAGCTATCAGTCTTAAGCTCACACTGGAGGCTTACGATAAATACTGGATGCCATTCTGCCCACTCCATGAAATAAATGTTTCCAGTTTTCCCAATAGAGACATGCCAGCAACATCTAAAACACAACATATTTTAAATAATGAAATGCACTGACAAATGGTAAAAAGTTCAGCCTCACCGTGAGCATCTTTTCAAAATATTGAAGCCGAGTTCCTAAAACAATCCTCAACTGTTGGATTTACAAAAAGGCTTTAACCTTTGCAGTTTTCATTTCAGACCACCTTCACATCCCTCACCTTCTAGTCTTGAAAAGATGTTTGGTAAATTTCCCAGTCAGTCCGTTTTAGAATTGATTCAAGGCATTTCCTATCTATTGGAACTGCAGCTTTCAGCTAGAAAAGCCAAAAGAACCTAGATTATCTCCATTCTGTTGCCTGCACATCTATAAATACCACCTCTGCCTTGCCATGGAAAGAAATCAATCATTTGAATTTTATGGGTTCCACGGTCTTTTGTATAATTTATTATTTTTCCTACCAAAAATAAAAAATCAGTGCACGTGCTTAAAAAAATACTATGTTCATGTGTTTACCTCAGCAATCTTCCCTGGATTCCATGTATATTCATCTGTATATGTGTACATTACTATCCAAGGAGAATAAACACTAATGTTTCCCTAAGCATCTGCAAAAAAAGGAACCTCTTTGTAGTTATATGGTCAATAATACAGGTTTATGGGCCAGTCCTCTTGGCTTGAGGGAAGGTGTACAAAAACTGCTAAAATAAAAATAGTCCATGTCTACTGAAAGTTCCTACTGATGATGGACATGGTGACTTCACACACTGCCCGGAGCCTCAGAGGGCATGGGTAGGACCACAGTCCAGGAACCGCTAGGTCCCATAGCTAAGACTGTCCAGTGGTCTTGGGCAGATCATATTATGTCTGTCTCTTATCACCAAATAGGCATACCAAGTATATACATGCCAAGTATATCCCCAAATAAGGGGAGAGCGATTTCTTAATAGGTTTCCCCACCTTATATTTTTCCCTTCTTTTTTTTTTTTTCTTTTTTCCTGCTTTCTTTCTGCATTAGCTGTCGAAGTTTCATCTGACTACTGTAGGTACTCATTGAAAAAAGGAAGAAAGAGCAAAGACACCAGGGGTAACCCTCAACTGCCTGTTGACTAGGGCCAATACTTCAAATGAGGAAACTCAGGGGGCTGAGACTGAAGGTGCGAGCAGTGACAATTAATGGAAAATACATAGCATGTAAATGGGAAAGTGGGCTGCCTCTACCTTCCTCCTCGGGAGAGATGCCTTGGGACAGTGTTCCCAGTAAGGCCTGAAAACAAGGTCCTTCTGGTACTTTAGTAATTAAAGTTCCCTGGATAGGATTTGAGAGGGACCAGGAAACCTATACTCCAGACTTATGAAAATAGGTCTCTGCTGGAGCCTAGGGATGCAATTGAAGGTGCTGTATCTTGTTTCATAATTTTGGCATCCAGTGGAGGAGCAAGGCTACCAACAAGATTGCAAGATCATTTGGTATTTTGGAGAGCGTCTCTCTCTCTAGATCACAGAGGGAGTAAGGGAAATAGTGACTAAATAATAAACTGAGACAAGCAGACAAGGAAGAAACTAACAAGTGAATCTGTTGTCTCTTGAGGATCCAAAAAATGAAGATGGTAGGCATTCTAATCTCTGGAAGCAATGATCGAGAGGATTTGTTAGTTATCTCGGTAAGACCTGAGTGGGTTGAATGTCATATGACTGGATCAGCAAAACTGAAACTGAGTGCACATGGGAAGAATGCTAAGCAGAGTTGTGACATATCCAACTGCATTAGAGGATTTTTAGGAGAAGGGCATGAAGACCTTGAGGGTATAACCTCATTCTAAAACACTCTTGCATAGTTTTTTCTCATGGGGATCAAAGAGCCAGACTGAAATGGAATTATTATTTTATTGATAAATAGAGGAAAGTTCTACCTTAGGAGCAGATATGGCTGCAAGTCATGCATTACTAGATACCAGGTCATTGGAATTATACCATTTCATTTGTTCAGCAAACATTTATTACACAGCACCAGAATTAGCCAAAATAAATTAATTCATATAAAATTCTGACCCTTTTCCACAAGGATCTACAGTCTAATTGGTAAGACAGAAGGGTAAGAGAAACATAGGAAATAGCAAAAGCCAGTGTTTGCTTATATATCTAGGATAAAAAATAATCACACAAAAGCATAAGGTTTCGGAGCTAAGGGATCAAGATTTTCTATTCTAACCCCTCTTTCATGAGGTGAGGAAATCGAGGTCAAGTCCTGACAGTGATGAGGCCAATTCCCCAAGTCCCACAGGAGAACCACTTCTTCTCTGCAATGTGTTGTTAAAAATGGCATAGATGCAACGTACAGAACAATACTAGGCTGTGTAGGAGGGGGCAATCTAGTCAGGGAAGACTTAGTGGAGCTGGCGAGAACTGAGCTGGGCTAGGGAGAAGTTTTGGAACTAAATTGAACTCGATTGGTGAAGAAGAGGTAGAAGGCATTTCAAGGTTGGGAAACTGGATCAGCACTGCAAGAAGCTGGACTAGGCAAGCTGTGTAGCCAGGAACTCAGGAGGCCACAAGAACATTCACTAACCTTCACCTCCTAAGCTGCCTCCTTTGAATGCCTAAGAACAATTCTTTGCTTTAGTCCTTTTACCAACTTTAACTAGGGTATATTCTTTATTGCTTAAGATTTTGCAATTTGGTGCCCAAAACTCATACTGTTTAAATTTGTCAGCTCATCGTTTCCATCTTATTCTCCTTCCAGGCAGGGATTTAGTGGATTAAGATAGAATTGACTGCCGGAATCCATAAGAACTCCTGACAGCCTCTGTGTCCCTTTTAAAAGCAAGATAGACTCTTTCAAACTGATTTGGAGAACACGCATGGAAAACTAAGGAAGTTATAATATGGGTGTATTCATTTCAGGATTGTTTATTAAACCAGGAATTGCAAATTCCAGATGTCAAATATTTTCCCCCAGCTGGGGATTGAGCAGTTTTTTCTTTTTTGGGTTTTTTTGGTGAGGAAGATTAGCCCTGAGCTAACATTTGTTGCCAATTCTCCTCTTTTTGCTGAGGAAGATTAGCCCTGGGCTAACATCCTGCCCATCTTCCTCTACTTTACATGTGGGACACCTGCCACACCATGTGCGTAGGTCTGCACCCAGGATCCAAACCTGCGAACCCTAGGCTGCCAAAGCGGAGCGTGCAAACTTAACCACTACACCACCAGATCAGCCCCTGAGCAGTTTTTAACAAGCGACTGCATAAAATGTTGACCTCTGTATGGGAAATGAGGGCCAGCCAGTGTGAGGTGAGTTGAGTGAAATGCTAGACGCATAAGACATTCTATTGAAAAGAGAAATTAGTGTCCTGGTCAAAAAGGTTTGGGAAAGATTGGTGATTCTCTAAACCTCATCTGGAGTTTCATAATGCATGTGAGCATAGTAAATGTTCTTAGAAGTATGGGGGTAAAGAAAACAGCTTAATTTTGTTTAGGTCTATGTTTCCAAACTTACTTGGCCACAAACCCTTTTTTGTGTCGATGGAACCAGGGCCCTGCAAATGACCTCCTTAGAAGCACTGTTGTGAGAAATCAGTACTAGGCTTTTGGAATGGGCGGCAGAGTCCTCATCTCAGCTGACTGAGGGAGACACACAGATCCCCTAACTGTCACCAACACGTTGGAGTAGGCTGTCGTTTCTACAGAGGACAGAGTCTCAAACTGGGGCAACACATGCCCAAAGCTTAGTTCTTCCCAGAGTCTTTTATTCTGGAAAAAAGAAATGGAACAAGGACTAATTTTAAGGATACTACTTTTTTCCAAGGTCATAAGTAATTCTTTCTTTCATTCCCAGGTTTTTTAAAATCATTTTTTAAAATCTGGATTTAGGTGTGGTTATCTCTGTGCTACGAGACAAAGCAAAACAAAAGAATAAAACGTTTAAAACTACAGTGAGATGTATTATCTGAATTTACAAGGCCATGGTGGGTGGTTTGAATATGATAGAAAGTCCACCAGAAGAAAAAGGAGGCAAATGCTTGCCTTGAAGGAAATCAATCCATTACCTAATTTGAAATTCTAGTACCTTCCATCATGCTTTCTTGGCTGAAGATTAATTCTCAGAATTCATTAGTGTCACCACATTAAACACAGGTTGTTGCAGCCATTTACTGCCATCTCTCAGCCTGGCTTCTGCCAGAAACAGGCAAAAAGGAGGCATTTCTTAAAAAGAAACAAGGTTGGGCTTCCGTGTTGGGCTCTGGAGCTGGCGGTGCCGGTGCTCTTTCCGCTCCCAAAGGATAATGCTGTCAAGACACAGCTGCCTTGTCACTGTAAACTGCCATTTCATAACCAAAAAAATCAGATGCCTGCAAGGGAGAGCTATTTATCAAGAGTCACAGACGGATGTTTACCAATGAATAAAACACACTTGATAAAGAGCAGCTGAAAAGTCAAGAACTAAAAATACTTGTGAACTTGGTGAGAAAAGCAGGAGGGTGAGCAATGTTGTTCCACACAATGGGGCAAAACTAGACCAAAAGTTGGGATTTATGTCTCTTCTCATTTCTTTCTTAATACTCTGTCTTTTATGCTTTATGCTGTTTTCTTGTGGGTTTGCTCCTTAGATTGTGAAGTGTTTGCGTAGGTACAGAATATCTAAACGTTTTTGATCTGAGCAAACATTTCCCCGTCCCGTGATGCATCATGCTGCCCTGTGGTTCCTATCATCGTCAGACAGAAGTCTGAGGGACAAAGAGTCTGCTGCATCAAGAGGAGAAAATCCTCCAGAGGGTACACTAACCATAGGTTAAATATTGGAGCCCATGGTGCTCTGTCTTGGAAGGAAATTTCCATTCTGGAAGACAGGATTATGACAAACACAGACATTTTCCCAAGATGACTAATGCCTCCAAAGTAGGCAGGCTGAGAAACTTGATATTGCATATGTAATTGTAGTGAAGCATCACCTCCCCATTTGGTGGCATATTTAACTGAAT